ATCGTAGAAAATTGCATTTTAAGGAAAATATGGCCAGGAGCCGTAGCCGGAGCCGGAGCCATAGCCGAAGCCGGAGTTGCTGAATTGCATTATCAATGTAGATAAGTTTTATTGCGGTTGCCAGGGCATCCCCATTTAAAAATAATTTAAATAATACAAGTCTTTGGAATACAAGCAATTGCCAGAGCCCCCCTTCTTTATTACCCAATACCAGACATTGAGTACAAAGCATGGGGCCAACATATCCAAGCTCTAGACTTTTCCAGCTGCTGGTTGCTTGAAAGAAAGCGACTCTCTAGAAAAATGTATGTACAAATTGTTTCTCTGCAATGTAAATTACACAGATATCAAAAAGTGTAAACAAAGCCAAACTGCCAATCTATTTTTTACCCTAAATCAATATTTAACTTAGGCATAACAGGAAGTTAATAAATGTAGCAAGTCTTGTACCCAAAATCTGCGCTCATGGATAAGGAAAGACAAGTTCACGAATTGAACCAAAAGGCATGATTCGCTCCGTGAACTATTTTCTACAAATCTTCCGGGGTGACAACCCTGGCAGTAATAAATGCATAGGCAGCTTTTTGGAAATAATTTCTTAAAAGCGAATATTTCTTGCCAAATATAGTATAGTAGGGTATCAAATTAGATATATGTATATTTGTATTCGGCAAAACTTCAAAGCCCTGTAAAGCAGACATCAAGTTTCAATTCGAAAAACACGAAACAACAATTCGATCTTGGCATCTTTTGTGGCTGCCTGTTGGCTGTCTGGCAATTTCGAGCATTCAACAACGAGTTTTCAATTGAACTCATCTTGAAGCCACTGCGGCCTGTTCACAATTCACGGTTTGAGGGCTGGCACTGTCATTGTTTCCAAAGTTTCAACATTTTGTTTGTCATATTAACATAAAGTATGATTTTTTGAGTGGCTTCAAGTACCCCCAGTTGATCGGCGCCGACTCCGTCTTCTCTTCCCTCCATCAGCACTCGAGATTTCTGCCTATTTGATATTGTTTTTATTTGTGCTGCAGATGCTTAATATTGTTTCAAGTGTATATTTGCCGTCTAAAGTGTGTCGATGTGTCATATTTCCCCAGTACTGAGTGTTTGAGCCATAAAACAATATGGCTTAGGGCATTATTAAAATGCCGCTGCGTAAAACGTGACACATTTAGTAGTTTCGTGTGTATTCGAATCATATTCTTTGACAGAATTGTCGGTTACTCAGCAGGAAAGTACAGTAAATACTGCCAAAAAGCAAATTGAGTTGATTTAGTTAAACTAGAAACAACAGATCGGACTAAGAATGACCAAGTTAATTCAGTTTGCATTTCCCAAACAAGCCGTAGAAAAAGTCCTTGGATATGTACCATATATATACATATATGCATACATATGGCTGATATATATAAGTACAGCGATTTTCATAATGACCCGACTCTAGAGCCCGAACAAGGGGCACAAGAAGCACACAACTATTTAGCGTAAGGAAATATAAAAAGCATTCTATCATATGAAACGTACTTGACTCTTAGACTTTTGTTTATTAAATGCCATATGCATTGCAGTACCAATAGGGAATACAGTGCGTATACGTTTTATTTTTGACGTCAAGCCAAGCGTAACCGCTTTTTTTGGCACATTCACACACGCACACACACCTTTATAACTTAATTAACAGGCTATGCCAAATGCAGTTGTATTTGCTGTAAGTCATGTCAGGGAATGCGGCTCTCTGTTTAGTTTGAGGTATCTAATTAAATTATCCGCATTTAACAAGCGACTGTGACTTGATTGTGCAAAAGGCATGACTAAATACATGTACCCAGACGGTATGAAACCTTTTCGATCATTGCTCATGTTATAATTGTAGTTGTTGCTGTTAATATTTGCTTGCGATTTAACTGTTGTTGTTTGTACATACATATTTTTTCACGAGGTGTAACATTTTAATTAACACAACGTTCATAATTTGTAAACGGATGCAAGAGCACAGAATGTATGTTTTTTTTTTTCTTTCCTATTTTGTTCATTTGAAAATGTGTACCTGTGTTCAACCGCCACAACGAGTGCTAATTAAGTGCTATAACTACCTTTTTTTTAAGGTTTCAACTAGCCTGCTCAGTCAATCGACTATTTAGACCTGACCAATATTTTACACCAGCAATACGTACGAATATAAATAAGCCCTAATAACAACTATTGTTCAATCATAAATTGAACAAGCCCCATATGGAGCTGCCTATCTATAAGCGAGTATAAATAATATAAATATTAGCCGAGTGTATGTACATTGCGCACACCGCTAAATTTATAAACTAAATCACAAACAACACCAAATGCGCGACACGAATACGCGTAATACCAAAAATCAATACAGAATGTTTATCAGTGTTCATATAAATTATGACTAATTGTGCTAAAAACGAGACTGGCTGGGGCGGGCGCGTTGTTGCTATAATTGATAAAGTGTTGACACAATTCGGGAAATAAGCGGGTTCGGGCTCTAGAGGACTACCCCAAAGAGTGCAACAAGCAATGCTGGTGCTCGGTCGGATGTCAAATATCATGATATTCTATGCATAATATCTCATCACATCACAGCGCCCAAAATATGCTCTCCTCACGCAACTGCACACTTGATGAATCAAAAATATTCAAATTGAGCATCAGCTGGAACGAGTGTGACTCGAACACGAAGTAGCGAGTCGAAATACTCGTGTTGAGTCGTGAGTATTTATGGGAAAACACGTGACGCACTTAACTCTTGCATGGAATTTCCACAGAAACAACAAGTTTATTCTCTGATGAAAAATAACAAAAAAAAAGAAAAATATTTAGCTTTTGGGGAAGCGTTCGATATTTAGCTAACCGTAAATAATTTTTCTCAATTGCGGTCCTTATCGTATAACAAAATATGCTCAAGTCCCATCCCCATTAGAGCAAATATGTGTTTGTGTGCATGTGTGTGTGCGTGTGGGTGTGTGTGTGTGTTTATGTGTAAGAGCTTAAGTACCGATAAGAAATTTGCCATTTTTACAATGGTATCATAATAATTTATGGCTGCCCATTGAGTGTTATAAAAGCTTCAATATTTTGTAGTTTATGACTTGCGCCAGTTGGGCTTGGGCGTAATTACACACACAGACACTGACACGCACACACACACACACACACACACACACACAAACACACACTAAATACATAAGCGGTACATCATTATTTCCAATGTGCGCTGGGTCTTTGTTAGTTGCCATGAATTATGGCTCTCAACTCGTTTGTTCAGTTTAGGTTTTCTCTCTCTCTCTCCCTGTCTCCTGCTCTCCCTCTCAGTCTCTCTCTTTCGCTCTCTCGCGTGCCCTGCTGGGTCATAATTTATGGCATGCGGCGAAATGGATTTTATTGCAAAAGCCGTGTTCGAGTTTATGGCACAACTGTAAGTGGGTAATATTCATTTCATTTATATGCACTTTGCTTTGTGCCTTGCGTCGGCATTTCTGGGACTGCAAATCGCTAATTTTCACTTTTTAGTCTGAAAAGTAGCACTAAAACATGATTAGTTATTGGCTATGATTAATGGCCAATGATTAACCGAGGGTCTTTCAACCTTCACCTAATCGATGCGAATATTACGTTGTCATATTTTATGGCCATTTTATGGCCAGCAATTTTGGTAAATGAATTGCACGAATTGAGAAATTATTACACTGACAAATGGATCACGATAATGAAGCTGATGAAAATACATTTTAATCAATGTTATTTTGCCAGCAAGAGTATAATGCGTCATCTCCTAAACGTAACTGCAAATCGTTTGCATAAACAAAAATAATACCAATAAGGGTCTGAATCATCTGGTTTCAGGAACATGCCGATTCAGTTCGACAGTAATTTAATAGTTGAGCCAATTTATTCTAATAAATGAATAAATCTGATCTATGAATGTTAAGAGTAAGACATTACCAATTTATCGGCGACATTATAATCATGGTCAAATTTGGTTCGAAGTTGGATTCTTCACAAGCTCTGTATAAAGTAGTAATATTTTTGTCCAGATATCTTAACAAATTCATCAGTTACTTAAATCCCAACAATGTCGAGCTATTATATCATACATTTTCAACATGTTTTTGCTAAAAAGTTTCATCTCAATTGAGAATCAAAAAATGTGGGTCTGTTCCATTGGATTTTGGGCAATTTGTGTGTTTCAAGGTTCGAGCTATGATATAAAAATAATTGAATTTTTGTATTCACAATGACTTTTCAAACCTGGGATTTCATTCTATGGTAAACTATGAATCATGAGCCACACAGGAATTTTGTGATAAGTTATGTATTTCAATATCGTTTCAAAAGGCCGTAGAATTTAAGGACTTCCGGTCTCGCGATGGCGTTGCTTATTTGTTAGTGGAACAAGCTTTATCATATTTTTAGCACCCCATGGCAATAACTTTGGCCCAGAATGGGCTTGTGCCCAAATGCTTTCACACTACATTTGCGTCGTTATTTAATATTTAATGTACTTTTTATATCTTTTATTTGCAAGCGTTTTAATAGCCTCATAATTCCATTTATTTGGCCACCTCGGGCATATTTATGGTTATCAGCCCTTATTTATGATAGCCACGAGCGAAACAAGGGCTGTGGTTGGGTCGAATCCAAACCGAATCGAACTACAGCTTTCATGATCGCGCGAGTGTTGGCCAAAGATTAAGATCACATATCGTGCTTTATGTTGGCGACCGTCAAGGAAGTGTTTGGGGTATAAAGTAAGCCAAGAGTGCCAAGACAATGCAAAAAAGGCGACACTGCGATTGTTTGGGTCTTATCTGATGTCGCTGGCACGATATCGAGAAACTGGGCAGCCCTTCCCTTTCACTCTCCCTCTACCTCACCCTCAGCCTCCCTCTTTCTGTGGTTATGCATATGGACACTGGCTAATAATTCTTTACTCTTGACTAACTCGGAGCATCCTCTCGTTTCGTATGCACTTGCAGCTGGACAACAAGAGCAGTCCGTTGGCGCTATTGGCGCAAACATGCAGCGCTATCGGCGCGGACACCACAAATCCCAAGCTGCTGGCGGCGAATATCGAAAAGTCCACAAAGCAACAGCCCAAAGGCAGCGGCATCGGCAATGGCAATGGCAATGGCAACGGCTTGGGCCTGGCGGATAACACACGCGATAAATCCTCACCGGTTAGCAGTCATTCATCCAGCGTTAGCACCGGCTCCGTGGAGCAGCAACAGCTGCCGCCGGCGCACAGCAAGACCCCCAGCACCTTTAAGCCCTACGAGACCAACAACAACGAATGCGGCGCCACAAATCTCACCAGTAGTAACAGCAACAGCGGCAGCAGCCAGCGCGTAAAGACGCCCAAAGCAAGCGCGGCCTCCACCAACGGACAGCAGCGCTGCGATTCCAACCAAAGTGCCAGCAGCTCCCATCGCGAGTCCCCAAATACGACCGCCTCCATGGGCGGCGGCGGTGCAGCCGCTCTCAGACGCACGCCCAACACAACTGGCTCCCAGCTCAACGGCAGTCCGGTGCAGTCGTCCGCGCCAGTACGCAGCAATTCCAAAGAGTCTGCAGCGATGCACAGCCCCAGTGCAGCCAGCTCCAGCCGACTGCAGGAGGCAGCCTACGCGGCGGCCAAGGAGGCCAGCTATGTGAAGGCTCTGCATGCAGCAAGCCAGCAGGCGAACCCCTCGGCGGGCTCATATTATCCAGCAGGTAAGAGTTACTCCATACGTTTTATCAAATCTAAGCCTGACCTTGAATCACAAGCTAGATAGATAGCCGTAACAGAAATCCTTATTCTTGGCGACATAATGTATCTAAAGATCTCGGCCAATAGACGCTCTACGATAAGAGATTGTTCTTATGAGAGGGACACAATTTTACTATATATTCCAATAAAATGCCTCAAAATCATATATGTAATTTTTTTGTGCAAATGTATACGATACGCAGCAGGAAGCATCTCGCGCCCCATAAAATATATATTATTTTTTCTCGTGTGAACAGCCAAGGCTATATTGGCTATATTGGTGTCTCCGTCCGACTCCTCGTCCGTCTGTCCGAAAAATAAATGCGTCGATTTCAGAGACTATAATAACTAAAGACTAGAGAATTTGATTCTAGCTGCTGTGGTTTATTTAATATCATCGTCAGCTTATTACGAATCCGACAGAAATCGACAACAAATCCTGTTCAAATACCCTTGCAGAGTATATTAAATCTGTCATGAAATATGTAACGCATCTCCCTATCCACAAAGTAGTATATACAGCATCAAGAGACGAGATAATTTAGCCATGTCTGTTCTTATAGATCCATCTTTCCTTTGCCGAATCGAACAACTATATCATATAGCTTATATTGGAACGATCGGTTAAAAAGTAGGCTCTTATTTTATTTTGTAAGGCAAATGTCTAGAAGGATATTGAATCTTCTTCCCTTCTTTCTATATCGGAGCTTATGAGAGCTAAAGGTACCAAGTTTGGTATGTCACAGTAATTGTAATCGATTCGTGGATTTCTTATCTGCAGGCTACGGCAGTCCCTATCCAATGGACTTGATGACGGCGAGCTCGCTAATGTCGCCACATCATGCCATGTTCAAGGCGTCGGCTATGAATCCGTATTTGAACTATGCTCGGCTCAAAGGATTAACGGACCCATCGGCCATGATGCAAGCAGCCCCAAACATCTGCCGTGATCCATACTGCACGGGCTGTCCAGCCAGTCCGCATTACATTAACAAAGCAGCTGGCCAGCCCTGTCCCGCTGGTTGTCCGCAGTGCGAAGTCGGGGGATCGGGCAAATCGGGTGGAAGCTCTGCAGGCGCCGGAGGCTCCAGTGCGGCAGCAGCGGCGGCAGCGGCTGCATCCTCCTACCACGCACAGCTGGCTGCCCTGGCGGCGGCCTCGCAGCTGCCGTACGTATGCTCCTGGATTGGCAGCGATGCGGCGTATTGCGGCAAGCGCTTCGGAACCTCCGACGATCTGTTCCAGCATTTGCGCACACATACGGCCTCCGTGCCGGATGCGGTGCTCAGCGCCGCGGCAGCCGGCGGCATACCACCGAATCATCCGCTATTTCAACGCACCTATCCCACCCCGCCGCTGAGCCCACTGTCTGCGGCAGCACGATATCATCCGTACGGCAAGCCATCAATGCTGCCGCCATCTTTGGCACCACCTGGGATGCCCGGCCTGCCGCCGCATGCCGCACTGGCCCAATACTTTGCGCCCTACTCGTTATACGGACCACGCATGGGCTCGTCGCATCCGTAGTCAGAGCAGCAGTTGGAGCCGTTGGTCAACATTCAGTCAAATCATTTTGCTTGAGTTCGTCCCAGCAGGGCCAGGTCAGGAGTCAGGGGTCAGGGGGCGGGTCAACTCACTCGTGAAACGAAAAGCTAGTGATCTAATGTACGATAGTTACATACAAATGTTTAAATATTTAGCTTTAGGCGCTAAACAGCAGCAAGTTGGAAAGTTCTATTCAAGGATATGCCACACATCAATTTGTTCATCAGCGTGTCTCTACGTATGTCCCATTTAATGCTTATGGTAATTTTAATATTATTTATTAATTGAAAACAAAAACAATATATACATATATATATATATAGATATATATGTAGATATATACATGTACATATGTTTGTATATGCATATGAAAACCAATTTGAAATGAAAAGATTGTCCAAAAACTAAAAGTTGTAAAACCATTGTACATTGTATTAATTAATATACTATATATGTTTATGTATGTGTATGTAAATGTAATTATGAACACTATTTTAAAGTTCATTTAAGTCACTACAACAAATCAATAAATGAAAGAAAACTTAACTCAATGTTGTCTCAATTGGGAAGTTACACGAAATACGAGGAGCCTTGCCCTGTGGGAGGAAAAGGAGGAGCTACTCAAGAAGCATGAAACATAAGAGAATATATTCAAAACAAACCTGCAAAATCTAAAACAAAAGTTTATAATGCTTCGATCAGAACTTAAGCGAATGCTTTACGCTCGCATGTCCTTGATTTTGGTTTGATCCTTGTTTTCAATTAAAATGCCAATTTTTAGTCGGTTCGATTACTTCAGACTAAGCGTTAACATTAGGAACATTACAAATATGTGGGGCTGTCGAAAAGCATATCTGAACGGCCTTAACTCAAAGCGAAATAAATAAAAGCGGGCACACAGAGTCAGGTCCAGTGCCAGCCAATAAGCCAGAGACTCACAAATCATAACATTCAGCTAGGTTTGCCGCTGAATTATGCCCGGTAAAGCTTGGCACCAGAGCTGAGGGGTTGGAAGCTACCGACACCACGGTCCAAGGCAGTAAATCAAATTTTATATTTCCCCCAAAAAAGAAGTTGCACTGCGAACGGCGAACGGCAACTTAAGGGCTGGCGACTGAGGCCCAATAGTTACTCTGCTCACTGCCCACATATGGCGTCGATAAATTAAAATTTTCGCTGCACGATGGAGAGAGATTCGGAGCAGGAGCAGGAGCAGGAGCAGGAGTAGAGAGCTATATTTCAGCCATGCCCTTGCATTTTGACAGCTAGCCGCCCAGTGACTACCTGACAATTTATTGTATTATACGGTTTGGCATTTGGCTACCCACATTGGGAATGACCTCTCCGGGTGACTAACATGTGCTCGCTGCTGGGCAAAGGAGAGCGGGAGGGGGCGTAGGAGGAGGAGTGGGTTGAAGTCATAAAAAATATGCCATAAACTTTGCCAGCTACAGCGTTGGCGTTGGCATCAATAATTCTTTCATAAATGTCCATTTCGCCACATATAGCCGAGAATCGCAGAGCGGCAACTCCGTGTGTCCCACTATCGAGGGGTTACACATAAGCGATGTTCACGTTCAATGCTTCTGACAAGCGTCGGGACTGTGCACATTTTTCTTTCTTCTTTGATAAAAGGGGTTTAATCAAATGTCAGGCAACTCGTATCTTAACTATGACAACAGAAGCCAGGATTGCAGTATTATTAATGAAGCTCTAAAGTCCGGGTACAGGGTATGCGTTAGTCAAGCATTTTGCTCAGCGGCACAAGACTTGTTTTTTAATTTTTAGCAGCGCAGGTGAAAGCGTCCGCGGTGGCCATTATAGTTCTCGCTGGTCGCGTCCATTTATCATTCAAGAGAGAGAGAAACCCCGCACCCCACCCAAAATCTCCATATACCGGAGCTGGACTTGTCAGGTAGCCTCCAATATAGAGGAAAGCGGAGAAGTAGCGAGTTGCTGTATGAAACGCTGTGGCAAGAATTTATCGGTTGGGAATTTTGTGAAAATATTTCTTCTACCGTTTGCAAATTTATTTTTCCTGCTCGGCGCAAAATATAATGGAGATGAAAAATCGGCGCAGATAAAAAAAAAAAACAAACACATTACAATGCGAAAGTCGTAAAAAAAATAAATTATGTTTCAACAATGACCTCAAGTAGCTATTAAAGCAGCCAATCCAAAGTAACAAAAGATTTCCCGCACACTCCAAAGGTAAGTTAAGGTGAGACAAAGAGCAGCTCGACTACCTTATAGCTATTAGAAGCGCCGACTTCTCCCATGCTAAGTGTTGACTGCATATTTAAAATGCAGACACAGTGCACCAGGTAAGATCGTAACTCATTGAAATTTACGATTGCAGCAACAACAAAGCGATTGCAAATACAGAAGAGCATTGCATATATTCAGAACTTGTCATACACTTACTTTGAGGTAAATTTAAAAAATAAAATACCGAATTCTCTATATTACAAAATATTTAAATATATATAAAAATAATTAAAAATACCCAATTCTATATTACAATATGTTTAAAAATATACTACATATATATAAAATAATTAAAAATATCTAATTCTATATTGAATATATTTAAAAATATACTAAATATATATAAAATAACTTAAAATACCTAACTCCTTATTATAATATATTTAAAAATATACTACATATATATAAAATAATAAAAAATACTTAACTCTATATTACAATTAATTTAAAAATTGTAATGGTGGGGATGGTTCGGGTTCAGTTTTTGCCTTTCGTTTGGCCATCTACCAAAAATAAAAACAAACGGCCGTGGCTGTTGCCTAACCGGGTGCATAGGGATTGGAGGTTCGCACTTCTTGCTAATACTCGGACAATAGCTCGTCGGACTGGTCGGGGTTTTTTCCTTTCCCTTTTGCACTTACCATAAACACATAGTTTAAGTGCGATCAAAAAAAAAAAATAAAAAAAAAACTTATTGATTTAAGTAAATCCATTGAAACAAAAAAAAAACCGGATTCTAGTATGGGTACCATTAATGTGTCCCGACCGAACACCCAAATTCAAACTATTCAATTTCGCGTAAGTGAGAGAACTAAGGTGTTGATCGTCTCTCTTTCTCTTTACCCTCCCTACCTTGACAAGCAAAAAAAATGGAATGTGGATGCTTGTCCCTATTTCAGGTTCTTAAACCATCACTATAAATTGCAAGCGGCTAACATGGGTACTTGACAGATAAAACAATTAATTATGGAATTAGGATATCATATCATATAAGCTAATATAATTCGTTTATTCACGCATTGTTCAATTTTGTTGCCAATTAATAGCAAGGTGAGTATAACTCTATTTACAAAAAAAAATATACAGTTTCCAAACAAAATTTGAATCCAAAGTTAATATGATGAATGTGCAATAACTAGTTTAAATCCCATAAAGAAATTAAGGGGAAGGAGAAATTCACCAACATTATCTTGAGACTTGACGGATAGTAATTAATTTACCGTCTTGCTAAATTAACTGCATTTAAATGTTCATGTGTGTATATAATTACATATATCTATAGGCATTGGTTTAAACTCTTACTCACGCGATATCCTTCGAAGCAGACGTTGGGCCCAATGTATACGACGATTATGATCGCTGTTGCTAAATATTACAAAAGAAATTTATAAGTATATAAACACATGTATATATATATATATATATATATATATATATGAGCAACGGTCAAGGTCGGAGGTGTAGGAATTTCCTCTCGCTTTAACTTATTTAGGCATATTCATTGCACATTTTGTTTTAAAGAAATTAGTAAAAGAAAAAAAAAAAAATTAAAGGAAATAAAAATTAAAACTAAGGATCTATTAGCCGTCCATCTTGGCAACGTTAAACAATTAATGGAATTATATGGCAATGCTGCTAAGCAAGCGAAAGGGGTACACCAAAAGTAATACAGACTCGGCTCCTTTGTTACTCTCTGCAGGTTACACTATATGCTTAGTGCATGCGGTCCCGATGGTGCTGCATAAATAGTAAGCGTTTCACCCGCTTGACGCCGTTTTCCGAGGCTATGCCAGATGTTGTTCTTCGCAAGACAGCGGCTGATAAGTAAAATAGCAACAAAATTGGTTCTGCTGGGTTGCTAAGTGCGACACGTGCTCTTGGTGTTGCCCTTGTCTGGTCCGATCTCCCCCTCTGGTAGTGCCGACTAGTACGTCTAAATCTAGTCAACTGAGCAGGCACGGAAACTTCTCTTTAAGGGTCACCCCGAATCACAATTAGGTTAGTGGGTCGAGTTGTTATGAAGGTTTTTGGTTTCTATTAGCGTACCAAAAGAACACTTCCAAACTGTACTACAATTGCAGCCTTGGTCGTTGATGTCTTTGCAAAAAAATTATTTGCAAAGAAAGAAAAAATGTTATGAACTTAACTCGCACGCGCTTCAAATATATCTGACATGCTGAGCTGTACTTTTAACCTTTACTACTTCCCAACGACAAAAAAAATAAGGAAGCTTTCAAAAGCTCTACATCACGCGATTATATTTTAAAACGGTACTATGGCCTGATCTTATCACCTTTTTCCTCTCTATTCGCCCTATTCGGTTGCGCATGCCCTCAGCTGTGCAATAAACGAAGAATTGGCTTCCAGCGCGGTCGGTAAAGCAGTAACTAAACTAGAGCAGCTGATCAACAAGCAGATTCGTTTGGGGAGTGCAAAGCAGCCACTACACCACAGTTTATGCAGCGCTACTTGCTAGCGGGACATAAACTGAAATAACTATAATAACTGTTGAGTTAGAACTTGTTACTAGTTTGTATATCTTTGAGATGAAAAGTACCGATGCATTTACCTGTTTCATTAGCTAGTTGATAGTAGGCTGGGCTGACTTTTTGTACAACAATCGCCGGAATGAAAACTGGTGCAAGCTTAGAACTAAACTTCTTTTGCGCGTTACTCTGACAAAAATTGCGGGCGAAGACTTTCGTACCGGCAGTAAGACTTATGTTTCGGCTGCGCAAATTATATATCTTAGCATTTCTATTATGTGACTGAGCTACATTGTCTTTAGCTATCTGACGGATTACTTGTAAGGCTGTGGGCCTCTCAATAGCAGTGTCTTCGGACAAGAGGTTAAGTCGCTTTAGCAAGTCATAGTCTTTACCGTTTAACATCATATTCTGTCCAAACGCTAAAAAATATGGAGAGTACCCTGTACTTTGGTGAACGCTGGCTCTCAAGGCAGCACAAATGGCGTACAGCTTTTTATCCCAATTTGAATGATCTTTTCCGATATAGGCTCTAATAGCCGCTAATACTGATCTATTTACTCGCTCAC